TGACCAGCAACTGCTTTGCCTACCTGCCCCACGATGTGCTGACCCAGCTGCCGAGCCTCAGGCACCTGGACCTGCGCAACAACTCGCTGGTGAGCCTGACTTATGTGTCCTTCCGCAACCTGACACACCTAGAAAGCCTCCACCTGGAAGACAACGCCCTCAAGGCCCTTCACAACGGCACCCTGGTGGAGTTGCAAGGCCTACCCCAAGTCAGGGTCTTCCTGGACAACAATCCCTGGGTCTGCGACTGCCACATGGTGGACATGGTGACCTGGCTCAAGGAGACAGAGATAGTGCAGGGAAAAGCCGGGCTCACCTGTGCGTTCCCGGAAAAAATGAGGAATCGGGTCCTCCTGGAACTCAACAGCTCCGACCTGGACTGTGATCCTATCCTCCCTCCATCCCTGCAGACTTCTTATGTCTTCCTAGGTATTGTTTTAGCCCTGATAGGTGCCATTTTCCTACTGGTTTTGTATTTGAACCGTAAGGGGATAAAAAAGTGGATGCATAACATCAGAGATGCCTGCAGGGATCACATGGAAGGTTATCATTACAGATATGAAATCAATGCGGACCCCAGGTTAACAAACCTCAGTTCTAATTCGGATGTCTGAGAAACATTCGAGGCCAGAACAAGGACAACTATGCATGAGATGTAGACTTAATTAAGCTTTATCCTGTCCTAGGCTTGCTCCACCTCCACCCTCCACTGTAGGTACCACTGGCCTTGACTGAAAGCAGTGAAGGGGATTTGCTCCCTTGTCATGTAAAGTGTCTAGGTGTGGTCCATTAATGTAAGATGATGATGAACAATTTCATAGTCTTTAACCCTCTTCCCTTTCTTGGAACTCAACATGTATGGAGGGACTTCTCAAGTTTCAGCATGAACATGGACTCCTGGCTGTCTGTTTCTTTTAGTACAAAGTGTAACAAGTGTACCAATGCAGATAGCATTCAACAAAAGCTGCCTCAACTTTTTCAGAAAAATATTCTATTCATAAGTATCAGTTTTATTCTCATGTACCTAAATTGTGAAGAAAATGATTGCATTCCATAAACTGCCTGCAGACCTTAGCAAGCTCTTCAAAGTAACTCCATAGTACACAGGAGCACCTGCATCCGAGAGCATGCTTCTATTTTACTGTTCTGCATATTCCAAAAAAATAACTTGCAACTTCAGATAACTTCTTTGAGAAAGTAAATTACTTTTTTGATTGCAGTTTATATGAAACTATATGCAAGTTGTTTTACAAACTGCATCGAGATCCAACAGGCTAAATTGTTAAAAAAAAAATTCAATAAAGATTCTTAAAAGAATGACAGTTGTGTTCAAGTTTGCTATTTGAAATAAAGGATTAGGGACAGTGTGACTGAGTGGTCTTGGTTCCAGTGATAATTAAGGTATTATAGTTGAGAATGAAACTGGAGCAATATGTTACATAAGTAGACTTTTGGAGATAATTTTGAGATGGTGGATCCTTTCTGGATTTAAATAGAGAATTTGAATATTCATGTGAAAAGACTTATGGTCCCCAAATTAATGCTATTTCAGAAACAATTGTGTGAGAGCATTATAAAGTTGGTGAGAAGGAACAGTTCTGTATAATAAACAGTTCACAGTTTGGGACTTTTTCTAGATTAAGTTTTTAGGATAGAACAAAATTACTTGATAAACCTCTCCATATGAAATTTGGGTGTTTAGAGTATAAAACAAATACAATGCAAATAAATGTATGAAAATTAAATGTCTTAAAGATAGAATATTCTAAAATCAAAGACTTTAAAATAAATTTAAAAAATTTTTCTAAGATCATAATGTAAATTATAATTTAGATTTTTCTGAGAATATTTAAAAAATATATTTGGATAATTGTTCTGTATTTTTTAAAATATATTTTTATTGATTTCAGAGAGGAAGGGAGAGGGAAAGAGAAATAGAAACATTAATGATGAGAGAGAATCATTGACTGGCTGCCTCCACACTGGGGATCAAGCCTACAACCCGGACATATGCCCTGACCAAGAATCAAACTGTGACTGGCTGGGCTGGATAATTTTATCAGAGATCCTGCTAAATATGTTTTAAACATTGTTATGATAGGATATGCATTTGAGGAAAAAACGTGAGATAAATGTCTAAATGCACAAACAAGTGTCTCAACTAATAATCACAGGTTCTTATATTCAATTCAGTTTTTAAGAATTGGGATATTTTGATTTTAGCTAAGCTCTATGTTGGTATATACATCTTTGCAAAGAATAAAACACATTTAGGTATAAATAAAGCAATCAGTGAATCAATTGATATTCTCAATAATAGACAAGTTTTTTTTCACAGTTATTTTCCAATTAAGCTTAAAAATAAATTCCGTTCATCTCCAAGCTGTTCTATAAAGTGACTTTAATTTAGCCATTATTGTTTAACTTAAAGTGTAATGAACTTGCATCAGCATGTCTTAGGGTCTTCTTTTTTATGTTCTGCAGTGTTTTTATATTTGAAATATTATTTTCATTTCCATATTTTCAAGAGTGAAAAAGGATTAGATAGCACTTTGGGTTCTAGAAATCTTTGCCTACTCCTTTTTTGAGTTAAATTCAGAAGTTTTCAAAATAGGGCAAAAAACAGTAATTTGTTCCTTGTGTAGATTAGACTAAATAGTTAAAATATGATGTTTTAACTATATTAACTTTAATAAGGTTTATCTTATGAAATATTATAGAATTCATTATTTATGGTTATACTTGAAATCCTATAATTACCTGAGAAAAGTTTAAATATATGGTACTTAAAATTCCATTAAACATTTTAAGTTTTCATCAGGAATTCATAAACTGGCTGGCTGCCATTATTTCCAAAGAATGATGAAGATATTAGCCTGCCAAAAATAGTGAAAACATGTAATAAGAGCACACATCTAATAAGAGCACACATCTTAGGAATAAACTGCTGATGGACATTTATTGGTAAGTCTAATGATTTCTTCATCATGTGATAACCTAACAGTTAAAAGTGAGCCTTGCCTAGCCAGTCTGGCTCCGTGGTTGTCAATCCAGGAACTAAGAGATCAGGGTTCAATTCCCAGTTGGGGGGCGTGCAGGAGACAGCCGATCAATGATGTTCACCTCTCATTGATGTTTCTATCTCTCTATCCCTCTCCCTCCATTTCTAAAAAATCAGTAAAAACATATTTTAGAAAAAAAACAAGCTTTATCTTAAATCCAGGAAAGCAGTAGATTCATTAGTCTAGCTTTTCTCTCCATCAACTCACTGACGCAGAATCTGTGATAAAATAAAGCAGAGTTTTCACTTGTTAGGTGGATAACTTTTTTGAAGTTAGGATTACTTGCTTCTTTTTCATTGCCTTGTTTCTTTCTTTGTATGGACTTCCCCATTTGCCATGGCTTTCTTACCTATCATGTCACTCCTTTCCATTCCAATACATGGCAATAGGACATCCTTAAGGTAAGAAATATTATTGTTTGAAAGCAATTGCTATTGTGCAGTCATAATGTTCTTAAGTCTATAATCTTATAAGGCACTCTGAGTTCTCTGGAAGATAGGTGCTATGTAAATCCAATAAATACAAGAGGTACAGAAAAATGAAAAGTATCACTTTAGCCCTGGCCAGTGTGGCTCAGTTGGCTGGGTGTCATCCCTGTGCACCAAAAGGCTGCCTGTTAGAGTCCAGGTCAGAGCAAGAGGCAGCCAATCCATGTTTTGCTCTAATATCGATGTTTCTCTCTCCCTCTCCCTTTCTCTCTCTCTAAAAATCAATAATGAAAAAAAGTAACAATAAAGTCATAAAGACTTGAGCTTTAACAAAAAAGAGAAAGTATCACTTACGTATACTTGTTTTTTTTTAAAAAAAATGTTTTCATGGATTTTTAGAGAGAGAGGAAGGAGAAGGATAGAGAGCTAGAAGCATCATCGATTGTCTGCCTCCTGCAGGTCCCTACTGGGGATTGAGCCTGAACTCCAGGCATGTCCTCTTACCAGGAATCGAACCCTGACCTCTTGGTTCCTGGGTTGATGCTCAACCACTAAGCCACACCAGCCGGGCTAAGTATACTTGTCTTAAACACTGTTCCATTATGCATTATTTATCCTAGAAACCTACCAGTAACCTATTTTTTAAGATATGTTTTGGTTAGTAATACACTTTATTACTCAGCTTAACGAAGGTTTCAGAGGAAACACCCTTTACTTATCGTTTATATAAGCTTCATTTGAAGAAAGTTAGAAAAATACAGGTTTCCCCTGCTATCTGAAAGTAGAGTGTTCCCATGAAACTTTTCCTAGGCTGAAACGATATAAAGGGAAGGAGCAATTACCATTAATCTAAAAGCCAAAGGTCCTTTTTGGGTTTCTTTTGGTTAGTGGGATTAGGTACTAACATAGGTCATTCCTAAAAGTGAAGTAGCCCAACTCAAACTTTTAAAGAGTGGGGGATACTTGTACTTAAAAATTTAAGCACTTGATAAATCCATCCATTTTAAAAACTGTAAAAAGTCCAATAAATCTCTACTTAAAGTGGCAAGATTTTAGGGTAATATAGCTATTTGATCCTGAACTGTAAGTCTCCCCTTTCAATATAACCCTTTGGTTTGCAGCATTTATACAGGGCTGGGCAAAAGTAGGTTTACAGTTGTTCATATGGGAAAAGACATGCAGGTTATGATTAGCACAATAGCTATATTAACCCAAAAGAATGTCATAATGCAACTGTAAACCTACTTTTGCCCACAGTGCATATGTACCGTAAATTTTGCTGCCACGCGTGATTATGGTGACCTGTAGGGCACATTTGTACCTTGTAGCAGATAGACGTTTTTACAAAATAAGTAGACTTCGAAGCACATTCGATAAAATTTGGAGCTACATAGATTCATATTGTCGATAATAGACAAGATGCTTTTTTCAGAGGTGGAGAAAAGCTTCCTTGAAATAAGTGAGCAAATCACAAATGATAAATTATTTTAAAATACTTTGATTGGCAGCCTAGGTGGATTATGCTCACCTCAATATTTAATTAGAAATAACTTATATCTTTGCTTTCTGTTTTGTTTTTTTTAATTTAAGTGGATGTAAAAAAAGAACAAGTGAACTGTGACTGTTTCCTTAGGGATTCTGTTTTACTCTATCCCTTTCGGCCTAATGTTCCAACACGGGGCTTAACATTCTTGAGGACATTAGAGGCTTTGCAGCTCTAGTTTGGGAATCTTTCATACCATTTCTGCGTTCCATTTAAATCTTTCTCTAAAGTCTACACGAAAAGGACTTACACCATGAGGACTTACAAGGTTAAAAACAGTTTGGTAAGTGCTTTCTTCCTCTAAAATCGGTTCAGTCCTCTAGCCTTCAGAGAGCAGCACCATAAAGTGAAGATAGACATTTACTAGATGAGATTCTGGATTCACTTTTACACTTATGCAAGGATATTTTCACAGTAAAGGAGAGGGAAGGCAGGAAATTATATTTCTTGATAGCCGAAACCGGTTTGGCTCAGTGGATAGAGCGTTGGCCTGCGGACTGAAAGGTCCCAGGTTCGATTCCGGTCAAGGGCATGTACCTTGGTTGCGGGCACATCCCCAGTAGGAGATGTGCAGGAGGCAGCTGATCGATGTTTCTCTCTCATCGATGTTTCTAACTCTCTATCTCTCTCCCTTCCTCTCTGTAAAAAATCAATAAAATATATTAAAATATATTTCTTGATAATCAGAAATAATTAGTTTGAGAAACTATATTTTGTATTGCTCAGGAGTTACTGTCTCCTTCTAGATGGAGAAAAACAGCTCTTTAAAACTATTTCGTACAGTTATTATTTCTGTTCTTATTCTTAGAAATATTTGATTAAAAAACACAGGCTGGTTTTATACTTTAGCAGCTCTATCTTTGTCATGGGTTAAAAATAACTAGATTAAAAAAGATATTTAATATATGATTTATATAATTTTTACAAGAATAAGGATTCTTAGTATTTCAAACTTGGAAAGACTTAGACGTGTCAAGCCCAGTTTCCCATCCTACAAATAAAGAAACTGATAATTGTGACATATCATAATGTTATATAATGACAGCCAGGACTTGTTCGCAGGGTTCCAGACTCCCCTTCTAGTAATCTTTTTTTTTTTTTTTTAATGTTTTCATTGATTGTTTATAGAGAGAGGAAAGGAGAAGGATAGAGAGATGGAAACATCAATGAGAGAGAAACATCATCAAATTGGCTGCCTCCTGAACACTCCCTGGGGATAAAGTCTGAAACCCGGGCATCAAACCGGTGATCTCTTGGTTCCTGGGTTGATGCTCAACCACTGAG